CAGGAGTGACTGATCTATCTTAAGAAATGTGACAATTGCAAAACTAAGCATGACTTTTATAAAGTAGGCTTGCAAACATTATTAATCTTGTTGCACAACATTTTGTGTTCGTAGAAGCTGGACTGTTATATAAGTTTATTACTTATGCTTTTGTGGGTGCTTTACTGTTTTTAAAATGTAGAGTACCAAATAAAAACAAATGACTTCAACAGAGATGCTGGAGACTTGTATTATAATTCTGAATTGGTTTGATTGCCTGTATTATTTACTTTTGAGCTTTAACAGAATTTTTTAATTAGGATTTTTAAGATACGTTAGCCAGATTCTTTCAATTGAAGTTCTGACATGGTGGTCTATATTTCTTTGGTTTAAGTTATCTAAAAACATAAAAAAAGTAGGTTGACTGTAACGATAGCAGCACAGAAGCAAAAATCAAGCAAGGTCTTTTCCCAACAGCTTGATATTATGAGGCCCAGCACAACAGTACTTCAGGCAGATGTAAATTCATACGCAGAAGGTGCAAGTGAGGCACATTTCCTGAGGACTAATAGCCTCTCAGCAGAATGGAAAGGATCTGATCAATGAAGAGAATAGAGCATGAAGGAATCGGTGGCTATTATAAAGAACTGAGCACAGAAGTTACCCTGAAACAAGTTAAGACTTTACCTGGACCATATCCACTACTCTGCTTTTACTCTCTTTTCAACTGACTTGCATTTGCAAAGAATACAAAAGCAGTTCACTTCCCCTATTTCCCCTTTTTCCTCTGGATACATGGGCATGCTATTACCTTGGATGAGCCCAGCATACGCAAGTAACAGTGCTTGTGCCACCTGATCCCACTCAAGTTCAAAGCAAGCTCTCCATCAGCTCCTGCTTTCCACCTTTCCCCTCCCTTTCCCACAATGGATAAAGAAAGCAAAACAGCTACTGCACGTGAACAAGCAAATGGAAAAGGCCCTCTGAGTTTAAATGCAAAGTCAATGCCTACCTGATTTTGGAATTACAGGTCATTTCATTCTCAGGGTAGTGAATATCCACCGCATCCTGAATGACTGTACCATACTCATAGACTTTAATCTTCTTTGTCACCCCAGCGATGGCAAAGTAGTCACAGTCTCGGTCGAACTCAATACTGAGGAACAAAAGCACAGGTTGAGAACTGTGTAAACACATGTACTTACCAGCAGGGTATTTAACCACCTAAACATCTCAGTATGGCACAGCTGATAATCACAATTTGCAGTTAGCAAATACCCCATGTTCAGAGCACTTTGATCAGGTCTGGCACACATGCCAACAGCATGCAGTTCTTGCTCTCAGGCATCATTTTCTAATCCACTCCAAACACACCCAAATCTTCATTTACTGAAACAGGACTTTTTGTGGTAGCACAATCTCCCTTCAGCAGCCAGGATCTTTGTTCAGACACTTTAGAGGTTTTCCAGTTCAACACCACCATCTACATTATGCGGTACACAAACGTCAAAGCTGACAGCTCGCCCTGGAACCATGCTTAACATTCAGCTGTATGCTCTATGAACAACATGCTACGGGATGACTGCCCATTGATTCCTCTCAGTTGCACTGCCGCATCCCTTAGCTCCTATATACAGCAGCTTAGTGAACTCTAAGTGTTAATGTAGAGTAAACCAGTATTTGTGGGGAAAAACCTTCTAAATTCCCTGAGTAACAACAGAGGGTCAAAACATATATCATCAGTACAGTAAAAATCATGCATGCTACGCCTTCCACTTAGGGCCGCTCATAGAAACTGAGGCACCTTCTTTCTTGAACTGCAGGGCAAGTTTGTAATAGATATCAATGAAGTTGGAAGTAAAAGCAGTCACCTTATAACAACGTTAAGCTGCAAATGAGAAAAGCCTGAGGTTGTACATGAAATACGTCTGAGAGAAAGGCAGGCAGCAGGTTATAAACAGCTAACGTCATTGCTACCTTCGCAGCTTGGAAGGGCTTGAGAAAAATCTATTAGACACCTAGCAGACAGGGAAGTAAACCTCCTTCCTAGAAGGCACTCCTGCAGCCCATGCCACTGCAGGCAGGGTAGATGTGATTATACACCTACCTCCTTGCAGGAGCATTAGCTTCAACAAGACACCAGTTTGGCACTGCTCCCAGAAAGGGTTTTGGGTTATCATTACCCCCTCAGTCTCCAGGTTTCTATGATCAGTAACCAGCTCTCCCCAAGTCTCTTGACTAAGCAGTCAATCTACTGCTTTGAGAGGTCTCTTTTGGGGTTCTTCCACTCAGTAATTCATTTCAATCTCTACTGCCCCTATCACATTTTTTTCCAAGAAGCCACAGCATCTGTGAAGCCGGCAGCAAATTCTGAATGGCAGCAGAGAAAACAGAGTTTACACTAATTTCACATTCATATAACTTGAAAAATCCTGAGAGCAGGGGTATTCAAGGTATCTTTCTAAAATTAGAAAGCATTAAACCATTTACAAGAGAAGGGGCTCTTCAGGCTCCCTCCATAGCTATAACAGCTAGAATTTTCTACCCCTCAACATAGCTGAGAAATTGAAGGCACCGCAATGCTTTCAAGGGAAGATAAATTTAAATGCCAACAGAGTTTTCAAGTCCTTGTAAAGCAGATATCATCAAGTTATTTTTAAACTACGGAGAGAAAGGATTGTTGATACACAGTCTGACGGTATAAAATAATTCAATGAAACAGCTTGCAACTTGGCCTTTTAACTCACGCACCTAAACTTCTCCGAAGCAGTGGCAGGAGATGGTCCCACTCACGACTGCTTGTTTGCTTACTGGAGGAGAAAGGAGCTAGTCGGGTCAAGCCTGCGAAATCGCAAGCCCCCAAAAATGCAAAGAAAAGGAATGTGCTTATGGCTGGGGAATACAGGAACCAAGCATGCATCTATTTAAATAAAACAGGAAAGTGAAAGAAGTCATCTAAGAGCCAGACAGCTCTCCCCCACCCCAGATCTACCCTAGTCTAATCACTTTTTATACAAACAGGACGAAAGCACCATTCAGGCCTGTCTTGTCAGCTCACCCTATTCTGTGGAAGAATTTTATAATCGAAAGCCTCTATAACAATACAATGGATTTACTTCTACCACAATCTTAATTGAACCGCTGTCTCAGCTCCTGCTCACTGCCCTATGGATTCAGGTAAAGCGCAACTAAACTGATGGCAGCGATTCATCTACTTGGATTGAATTTATACCCTTAGCCTTCTGCTGCTGAAGAAAAAAAATAATAATGTATTACATCGCCTGGTAAAAAGCCAAGTTATTAGAACAGAATAGAACCTCTCTCACCTGCGGTGGGTTTGCTTCTCTAGCATTAATTCATTTTTTTTTTTTTAAATAGAGAAGTGCTGTAGACATAACAAATGAGTATTTCAATATGTCTATAAAAGTTAACACACCATTTAAAAATTAATAAAAAGCATCAGCCAATGAAAAATGATTGTCAGACCTGTGACCTTCTAACAGCATCAAAGACACTGCAGGGAGAAGGAGGATGCAGAAATAAACCACCAGCTGTACAGATGTTTGTTACCTGTGACAGAGGGAAACAAACCCAACACAGCGAGTCTAACGCACACTTGCACCTTGGCTTCCATCACCTATACACAGTTCTGGTACAAGTGCTCTCATTTTCTGCCAGTCAGCTTTTAGTAAGGAATTTACAAAGAAAAATATGGACAACCTATGTAGCTAATCAAGCGGATTATTTACCATATAAAATTAGTCCTAATATTTGCAAAGCTCTGCTTTCCCCTGGACTAAACAGGATTAGGACAAACAGCCCACTTGCATAGCAACAGTTATTTTCATGCTTTTTCCTAGAAGTCTTCTAAACACATTTAGTATTAACCAAGGCTTATTTGCATTTAACTAGCTCGATGGTATTCCTGTCACTTACTGCTTGAAATCTTTGTGTCAATGTAAGTGCTTGCTTATATGCAAGCTTATCTATATGAAAATTTGCAAGAGAACTTAGTTTTATTTTGTCAAAAGACACAACAGGGCCCAGTCTGAAGAATAACGTCATTCTGTTTTGCTGGTGATACATTTCTACGGTCAAAGTGAATTAGTCATTAGCACAATGATAACATGCAATAGAGTAATAGGAAATACTTTATCCTTTTTGTCAAAAAGGCCATCGAGTCAAGAGATAAACCAGTTAGACAACAGCACCTACTTCACAAGTGGCGAGAGGCACAGTGCCACCAGCGAGCCAAAGCAATGCATAAAATGTGCATGCAATGGCTATTAACGCCCTGCTAAAATAAGAGCAATGTGCTTTGGTAGCACTATTTTAAGTACACTTAACATGGGACTGACGATGAATGTTTTCACCATCTCAGAGGGCAGATGGAGCACCAACTGTCTGTGCACGCTACAAACCTACCTCAGCCCTAGCATGAAGCGACCTCCTCTAGGGCAGTTCAGACATTATAATTTTTTTTAAGGAAGCACTAGAGGTAAGACATATTTTAGATCATTTGAACATCCACTGAAGTTCCCTTTTGGACTAGCAGTGGTCCTTGCATCCTCAAAGATGTGCACATTAGAAACAATTAGCAATTGTTCCTTTTTTTTTTTAAACCCACTTTTAAACTCCACGTTTCTGACCAACAAAAACTACCTGAATTTTTGTAAGGAATCTTTTGGGGGCACAAACTCCTGGATATTTGATTCATAAATGTGCAACAGAATTTACTTATAAAAATCAAATTGAAAGGAACTGATTGTTTTGTTTTAGGGAAAAAGGAAGACAGACATCTCCAGTTCCCAAGTCGCTGTTTTCTTTCTCCTAAGAAGTTAATGACCAGTGTCCTAAGGAAATAACACTAACAGCTTCTAGAAAGTAAACACATTCTCAAGGGTTCTGGTTGCTTATCTTTATTCTCAATCTGTGAGATTACAAATCAATTGCTATATTTAATGCTAAAACCTATGACCTTGGAGAGCACTTGTAGCTAACAAATGGAATTATGAAATAAATTGCTTCTGAAACATGTCTGAAAGCTTGGCTTGATGTCAAGGGTAGACCAGTGGGGAAACAGTAAAGAATGAGTATTTACCAGTTCTGACACTGTATAAAGACTTGCTACGTTCACTGGTGTGGGCAGTTGTTTTCCACAGCCCAGGCAGATGCACTGGAGTTAAAGAATGCATACAGGTAGGCAATTAAATTGATTAAAGGAATGGAACAGCTGCCTTACCATAAGGTTATGAACAAGGTGCCAGCAAGATTGGTGTTCAACAAGTCACTCCACACTAGAACTAGGAGGCACCAATCAGAAGACTGATTTGGGACAGATATGGGTTTCCCCCCCTCTCATTCACACTGTAAAAACCACACATACACTCCAGGTACTTATTCCTGCAAGACACGGTGGTGGCAGAGTGAACCTGATGACAGTAATCCATGAACAATTGCTCCATATCAGATATTGACAGAAATAAATATGGACATACCCTTTATTATCCCCAATGTAATGCTTGTGGACCCTGGCAGGCTACAAGAAGACAACTTTACAGGCAGTGACAAGGTTGGCACACTTTGTGGTCCTCTGCAGGGACAGCATGGGGCTAGATGCTCTCCAAACCTACCCTCAGGGCAGCTCACATTATACCCGAGATCGCAGTTTGAAACGCCCCAGGTGTCAGCCTAGAGGGGCACCAAGCCCAGCGAGTTTCCATGAGAAACGGGTACGTGCTGTATCTATCCCTTCAAATCAGGAGACGGGGGGAGGGGTTGCATCTAACTGCATTTGCCTTTAACTGCATCACTAGTTACAATTAAAGGTCTGCAGCCAACTGCTCCTCTCCCCTTTCCATACACGCGCTCTACAATTGTTACTATAATGAGCCCTGACTCGGTAACGAGATCTATGGCCGTAGGAGTTGCCATTTCCACAAAGTAGATGACTCAGTCCCTCTCAAGGGACTATATATATATTTTCCTCCCTGAATATACCAAAGCCTTTCAATTCTACTTCTACCTAATACGGTGCTGTTTCTATTTCTGTACTCCTAGCTTGCTGTGGCCCCATATTTAATTGCAACATGGATATATTAATCTTGGTTTTGGGGGGACTTAATTAGTGGGAGACAGGAGAGATAACAGCAATTT